TCACGAGCCGCAGGGTTTAATTTGGTTTTGTTTGTGTATGTTTTTTTGACTCTCAAAGCCATGATTCCCATTCACTTACATTATATGACTGACAGACTGCAACGGTTTGAGTTAAAAATCTTCGTTTGTGTTCTACTGAAGAAACAAAGTCACCTACATCTTGGATGCTCTGGGGGTAAGCAGATAAACATCAAGTTTTCATATTTGGGTGAACTATGTGAAAAAAACCTGAATAAATTTGGGTGAAAAAAATCTGAATAAATAGTAAATATTTTACTATTTAAAAAAGAAAAATGCACAAAGAACTTGTATGGAGATTTTTCCATCTACAGTAAGGGTACACACTATTGCTGAAAAACACAATCACTGCTTAGCAGTCGGATGTCCGTATGCACAAAGGCACAGATCCCTAAACAAGGCCATATCTGCAGATGAAACTTTTTTTGTAGAAGCATTTTTTAAATTTTAACTAGCACCTCATGACTGCACCACGTTATCTATGAGAAGCTGCAAAAGACACAGACGCAAGTGGAATGTAGAAAACATGGTGACAGTAATTTTTAAGTAAATATAATGGGCGATATATTGCGTCACCAAAAATGATTGAAGTCATGTACATATATTGCGCGATAAGTCGATATATTGATTATTGTGACAGGCCTAACTGTTTTGTTGTGCTTTCTCAAAACCTGTCCCATTAAAATATTACATGTTAGGGAAGTAGGCAGTGAGACAGTGGTCTTTTGTGGTTGCTTGAACACATTTCACCACATGAGCATCTAAACTATGAAAGCAATCCGTTTTTAACTACCTCTGGAAGTGGTTGAAATTGGACAAGCTTGTTTTAGACCCTGTTTACACCTGTATTTAGTGTCATTCACTTGTGATCGGATCAGCAAAAATACATCTAAATAGCAGGTATAAACCAGGCCTAAGAGAGCGTTTTAGAGAGCCAGTGTAAACCATGACAGAATCCATGCATGTTGCGTTTATTTACAATGCACAACAAACATAGAAATGAAGGCCTCTTGTTCCACCCCAGATGACAAAAATTGAAAAGTACTGAAAAGAAAACAATCCTTATAGTAAAACTTGACCTGATCTTCACTGTGAAACTGTTGTTAACTTTTCTTTTAAACTCTTGTAGCAGCAGCATCTGATTGAGCTTATTCGTCTGCGGGAGACTGAGGCAGCGCTGGAGTTTGCGCAGTCACAGCTGGCTGAACAGGGAGAGGAGAGCAGAGAATGTCTTACTGAGATGGAGCGAACCCTGGCACTGCTCGCCTTCGACAACCCTGAAGAATCGCCGTTTGGAGACCTGCTCAATATGATGCAGAGGCAGAAGGTATGTGTGTTTTTTTTGTGTAGGACATAATAGGGGTGAGCGATATGGAAAAAATCATGATTTTATCACTCTGCACATTTTTATATTTGCAAGTTGTCTGAGCAGTACAGCCAAACAAATTTCCCTATTTCAAAAACAAAGCCTTATAAGGTAACAGAATATAAAATAAAAAATAATGGCAGACATTAAGGCCAAAGTGGGCAAAGATAAAAAATCTTTGTCATTATTTTATCTTTTTTATTAAAAAATAAGAACAAAGATATTTGATATGATAATGATACATTACAAATACACATAATATACAAATAAAACAAACAGTGCTTTATTGTTCAGGTAGAGTAGGTGTATTTAGCAGTAGCATTCAAGAAATTGAATGAACAAATATAAAAATTAAATGCTATTTAAACTTCACTGTATAAATTATACATTGATTCTTATTAAAGCAACTATTAAAGTTCTTCAGTCAAGAGTAGGGATGTAACGATTCACTCAACTCACGATTCGATTCACGATTCGATTTTCTCACGATTTTTTTTAACAAAATGAGATTGAAGACATTATACAGTAAATGAAAAGGTGCTGTTTTATTAGGCTATTGCTGCACGTTTCTTTGTGAAATTGAAATACAACAAAACTAAATTGAAATTTTAAAACAAATCCCAAATCAAACAATAAGTTGCACAATTAAAAGAAATCTCTTAATATGAACAAACTAAGGCCCAATCCCAATTCTATTTTATAACCCTTCACCTTCCCCTTCCCCTACCCCTCCGCCTACCCCTTCCCCTTGTCCCTTGAAACAGAGTGTCAAGGGGTAGGGGTGAAAATATTCCCCTAAGAATTGGGACACCACTACTATATGTCACACGTCATCATACTTCGTCTAGCTCCTACAATACACACATCTATACTGGTGTGCATTAGAGCCTTTAATTACCGTTCTATATTAATGTGCTGCTTACTGACACACACACACACACACACACACACACACATATATATCGGAGATCGCGCAGCTCTAGGAGATCACGCAGCTCACACATCCAGGAGAAAATAAACTTGTCAATGCTGCCCCACGACTTTTATTAATAACAGTTTAAATACTGAATCGCTACATTATATTTTCCAGCAA